TTAAGCCCAAGAGTTTGAGGTTGCTGTGAGCTATGATGTCACAGCACCCTACCCAGGGGACAAAGTGAGACTCTCTCAAAAAAAAAAAAAAAAAAGAAGAAGAAAAAAAGAAACTATACTTCAGTATGGTATTCAATAAATTACATGAGAGTATTCAATACTTTATTATAAAGTAAGCTTTGTTTTAGATTATTTTGCCCAGCCCATATGCTAATGTTCTGAGCACATTTTTTTGTTTTGTTTTGTTTTGTTTTTAGAGACAGTGTCTCAGTCTGTCTCCCAAGCTGGAATACAAAGGCAAAATCATAGCTCACTACAGCCTCGGTTGTAGCTATCCTCCAACCTCAGCTTCTCAGGTAGCTGGGACTACTGGTGCAGACCAGCACATCCAGCTAGTTTTTACTATATTATTGGTAGAGACAGGGTCTCACTATGCTCCCCAGGATGGTCTCAAACTCCTGGACTTACATGATCCTCTCAAAAGTACTGGGATTATAGGTGTGAGCCACTGTGCCCAGCCCTCTGAGCATGTTTAAAGTAGGCTAGGCTAAGCTATGATGTTTGGTAGGTTGGCTGTATTAAATGCGTTGTGATGTATGGCAATTTCAACTCACAATGGGTTTATTCAGGGGTAACCTCATTGTAAGTTGAGGAGCACCTGCATACATTAGCTCACAGTCTTGTACATGGATGTTCATAGTAACTTTATTTGTAATAGTCAAAAGCTGGAAACAACCCAAATGTCCACCAACCAGTGTGATGTAGGACAACTGTAGGTCCATCCCACACTTCTACTGGAATTCTACTCAGGTGAATGAACTATTGGTGCAAGGAACAGCACGAATGAACCTCTAAAATGCAGTGAGACCGGCTTGTTCTGCCCATTCATGGGAACCATAGCCTGTCCCTATGCCTCATTCCTCTTTTCATCCCAGGTTTGAGCTCTATCCTGAGTGAAGACAACTAACAGATGGGAAGTCTTGTTACTCGGTCATTGATTTGAAAGTTGTAATGGTCAATTTCAAGTCCAAATCTAAAGGTGTCCAATCCAAACAGCTTGCACAGAGGGCCAGGTCTCTGAGGGGCCGAGAGAGGTGCGGTCATGAGGTCACTGTTGTAACAAATTTCCACAGGCTGGCTGGCATAAAACAATAACGTTTTATTCTCTGTCACTTCTGGAGGCTAGGAGTCTGAAATCAACATATCTGTAGGGCCACACTCCCACTGAAGGCTCTAAGAAGAACTGGTCCCATGCCTGTCTCCTGGCTTCTGGTGGTCACTGGCAATCCTTGGTGTTCCCTTGGCTTGTAGGCGCACATCACTCTAGCCTCTTCCTCTGTCTTTACATGGCTTCTATCCATGCGTGTGTCTATTTCTCTTTTCCACTTCTTATAAGGACTGAGTCCTTAGATGCAGGACCCACCCACTCCAGTATAATCTTCTCTTAATTTAACTAATTACACTTGCAAAGACCCTATTTCCAAGTAAACTCACATTCTGTGGTTCCAGGTGGACATGAATTTGGGGTTCAAGCCAGTATAGGAGCTTCCACTGTCAGGTGAGCAGGCCAAAAGTCCCAGAGGGTCTGACTTACCCTCTTCCCTGCCCCAGGGAGAAAAATGGAGGCGTGAAGGACAGAGAGTGAGTGTTGGAATTGCTGTGTAATCTTGACTAAGTTGCCGCCCCTCTCTAGGCCTTAGTTTCTCTGCCTGTGAAATGGGGCACAGAAGATTGGTCCCAAAAACCTCCAAAATCCTTGCTAAGGTTAAACATGTTTCAGGGAAGAGCTGGAATCTTTCTGAGTCCCTGAGGCCAGATATGGAGGTTTCCTGTTGTCCTGAGGAGATGCTAACATCTTTCACTGTAGATAGAGAAAAGTCCAGCTTTGTTTGAGGGGGAGGCAGGACTGCGGCATCTAAGGCTAGAAGCAGGTGGCTGGATAAAATAACCAGCAGGCAAATGAACAGTCCCTAGCTCATCTGCATACAAGGTAGTCCAGTCAATCAGAGCCCAAGACCATTGGCCCATGGCCTGCCTGGGAGTAGCCCATCTGGGAGGTTCTATCCCAGAGGGTCAGTCACGGGCTGACACTGCCCTCAGAGGTTTGTCTCCTGTGGGTCGTTACCATCACTTCCACTGTGGGGGGTCCACGAACTGACCCCCGCCATCTCCTTTTGCCCCAGGAAGACCACATGGTCCTCATTGGTGGACAGAAATCCAGGGGGCTTCTTAGTTCCAGGAGGGAGTTCTTCAGGACCCTGGGGTGAAGAGAAAAGACAGATCCCATCAGAGACCCTCTCTTCATTCTGCCAGCTCATGTTCCAGACAGGAACACTGAGGACCTGGCAAGATGGTCTGCACACAGTCACGCAATATCCCCTTGTCCAGCACATCAGCCAGTTCTGTCCCCTCTGCCTTTGAAACCTCCATCCACATGTGGCCTACAGTCCAGGCCATCAACACTCGCTTGGATGTCTGCTCTAGCTGCTTC